ATTTTCGCCGTGGCATGAAACTTGCGGGTTCAATGTGGCTTTTTATGTTTCGTCGCGATGAAAATCAAGTTCAGCGTAACGAATTCTGGAATTCTTTGTTTTGTAAAAAGGGTGCGTTTTCCAAATTTAGTCTTGAATCCTAGGGTTTTGGCCGATTATTTAAGAGAGGCTTAGCTCATTTTGTTGGGAGGTCGACATTTTTGGGAAAGGAAAAGGGGAGATTGGAGATTTGAAGCAATTGGGTCTTCAATTAGGTAAGATTTCGTTCCTTTTTCATTTTCCAGCATGTTGAACTCTTTATTTACACTTTATATTACAATTTTCTTTACTTTGAGTGTGAACTAACTCAATTTTGGGTTAGGGTTTTGATGTAACTTGGATTACAATGGTTTAGTCTTTAAATTGATGTTGTTTTTAAGTTCTATTGCTTGGATTATGTGTTTATTCTTGTTCTTAATGCAATTGGATGCTGAGTTTTTGGTTCAATTGAATGTTGAGTGTGATGATACTGAAAAGTGATTCAAGTGTTAGCCTCTTAGAGTAAACACCGTAGATTGAGTGAACACTAGAGATAGGTTCGGAGATCTATGAAATCGCTTTAGGATTCCACTTAGCTTAATGGACTTGGAACTGTTAATCTTTATTTTGTCGGGTGCGAAAGGTTAATGGGAATAAGTAGGAGAATATAGCCCGAGAAGGTATATTCTACAGATTAGGGTGTCTGATTTATAATCCTTGCATGTGAATTTGAAAGTAATAGAAACTGTAGATTAAATCAGAGTATCCCAGTGAAGTCGAAACCCTAACCTCTTTACCTTGAATTGATATTGTCTTAATTAGTTAGATTTTAATTTAAGTTGTTAAATTTTGTGCTTAATTCTTGCTTTATTTTTCTCCAGCACATCCAAACAATCTTCATGTTCTTCAATTAGTTACAAAGCTAGGAAAATTAGTACTTAACACGCAATCCTCATGAGAACGATACTCTATTCATCATTCTATTACTTTTTGTGACTAGTGTACTTGTTACACATGCATGTTTGTCAAATCACGCATCAAGTTTTTAGCGTTGTTGTTGGGGATTGATTTTGTGTTAATATTGAAGTTTTCTAGTTTTCGCTAGATTGGAGTTTAATTTTAGTTTAAATTGTTTCTAGCTTAATTTTTTCTTTTTGTTCGCTTATGATCTCACGTTCTTTTTCTGTCCTGTGTAGTTTATGCGAAGAGCAAGACATCATCCAGTGGTTCCTATTGATCCAGAGATTGAAAGAACTGCGAGAAGACTTATCAGAAAGAGAAGAGAACGAGAGGCAATAGTCATTGAAATGGCTGAAAACAGAACTTTGAGGGAATTCTCAATGCCCACAATTGATGGTAGTGATCCAAGTATCACTAGGCCACCAATACAAGCCAACAATTTTAAGATAAAGCCGGCAATCATCCAAATGATCCAACAGTCGATACAGTTTGGGGGAGATGCAAAGGAAGATCCAAACTCACACATTACTAACTTCTTAGAGATATGCAACACATTTAAGGCAAATGGAGTGTCAGATGATGCCATCAAGTTGAGATTATTTCCATTTTCACTAAGAGATAAAGCAAATGGATGGTTAATGGCACTACCAGCAAGAATAATCACCACTTGGAATGAATTGGCACAAAGGTTCCTAACTAAATATTTCCCACCAGCGAAACAGCAAAGATGAGAAATGACATCACATCATTTATGCAGGATGAGAATGAGTCACTATATGAAGCACGGGAAAGATATAAGGAACTAATAAGGAAGTGTCCACACCATGTTTTGCCTGTTTGGATGCAAGTTCAAACCTTCTATAATGGGTTGCTTCCAAATGGGCAAACAATGGTGGATGTAACATCTGGAGGAGCATTGCAAAACAAGACACCTGAAGAAGCTTATGAGTTACTTGAAGTCCTAGCAAGCAACAACTATTAGAGACCCAATGAGAGAATACATCCAAAGAAGTCTATGGGTATTCATGAAGTTGATGCTTACACGGCCATTTCAGCCTAACTAGCAGCACTTTAGAAACAATTAGGAGGTATGCAGGTTAATTCTATTCAAACACCTCAAGTAACATGTGATTTTTGTGCAGGTAACCATACGAGCATTGACTGCCAAGTAGGGAACACCTTTGCTTCATCTTCCTCATCATCAGAATGAGTCAACTATTTGGCTAGGAATCAGAGACAACAGAACAATCCTTTCTCCAACATGTACAATCCTGGTTGGAGAAATCATCCAAACTTGTCCTGGGGCAATCAGAATAATAATGGAATCAAAAGACAGTGCCAAACCATCAATTAGGGGTGAACTATCAACCGTGGGATCAAAGAGTATCGAAATTGGAGGATATGTTCGGGAAGTTCATGCAAGAGACCACAGGTTTTATGAGTGAGATAAGGGCAAATTTCAAAAACCAATGGGCATCGATTCAAAACTTGGAGGTTCAAATAGGTCAAATAGCCGAAAAGTTGAATGAGCAACCTCAAGGTTCCCTACCAAGTAACATAGTTACAAATCCACATGAGCAAGTAAATTGTAATGTACTATATAGCTAGTAATTCTGTAAGAAATATAAGATAAAATTTACTAGATAACTTTTACAAACATATATAAATAATGTACACATAACGTACACATAACATTGATATACTTTAGTAACATAAGGTAATCTTGAACAGTGCCGCCAAACTCCACCACTTCTTGACGTGCCACCCGATTGCAAATCATCTAGTGCCTACAAAACAGTAAATTAATAGAGTGAACACTAATTGCTCAGTAAGTAAACCAAACTACACTACTGTATTTCCTCTGTTACTCATATTCTGATTTTTCTTTTCTCACTTTATTCTTTGATTATTCTCTTCATTCTTTTCTGTTTCTGTTTCTCTTATGTTGTAATCTCTTTCTTTTCTTTTCTGATTCTCTTTCTTTTATTTCTTCTTTCTAGTTTGCCGATCGGACCAGGTTGATGCATGGATTTGGAACCCTGGCCATGTGAGTAGGTACAGTCCTCATCTACATGCACTACTCATGGATTGTACAAGTACTGTATCTCTCTTATGTGGCCGCTCGCTCATGGCGACGTGCACGTAGGTATACTCTACTGGGTACAGTCCTCATCCATATACAATACGCACAGACTGTACAAATACTATATCTCGCTGCTGATGCCGCTCGCTCGTGGCGGTGTGTATGTGGGCATCTCTATCACTCACGGGTTTCCCACCGCAAAAACCTTATATCATAGTATAATATAGAAAGAGAATAGAAAGAGATACTATGCACATTTCAACATGAATTTCCAAGCTATGGAAATTCTACACTTGCATTCTTTGAACATAGCCTCCATGGTCATTCATTACATCAAACATATATGTTCATACAATCATTAAATAATCACAAAGACCACTCATTCAAACATGCTTCACAACCCTTTAAGCATCATTTTCATACTTGGAATCAATTATAGATTATTAGACTACAAATAAACTAATAAAGTGGAAGCACTCTTGAGATAGTCATTCTGCACATGTCATATTCAAGAAGGAATATCTCCAGTTATACAAATCAGATTGCTATGATCTTAGTCTCATTTTAAAGCTTAGAGAAAAGGCTACAACTTTTATGTTTACAACTCAACCCAGTTCGAAAGATAAGATGCCAAAAAATCACTCAGAATGTCATGGGGTTTGATAGGGCAACCTTGGTAACATGCCTACTTTAGGGCTTTTCCATACTTATTTACCTCCACTTACTCCCTAACCCTTCCTAACCATTCTACCCTGTGAAAATAGGTTAAAAGATCAATAAAATACAATCAAACTTCAAGCCTTGCCTTTCTCTAACCCTTTCCTCATTAGGGTTTAGCCAACTCATGCATGCAATTTCTTTTTGGATTTTCATCAAACACTTCATATGCACATGCAACTATCTTGTTGGCTACACTTCCACAACTCTCTAATTCAACCATATTGTGAGCCAAAAACTCATTAATTATAGCATCAAACCTGTCCATTTTCACAATTCTCTACACTTCAAAAATTTCAACACAAAATCTTCCACAACTTTACCAAATCATCACATAACCATACACTACTTCTCATGGCTAGAATTAATACATCAATAAACATAAAAAAACAGCCCACAATTCTGTCATACCATCACATATAAACATGCAAAAATTCATTCAACACATGTTTTGCTCAAATTAAGTTTCAAAGTAGGTTTACTTACCTTGAATATGTGAGATCACTTCCCTTTTTCTCCAAATCTCTTCCTCTTGGACCTAAATCATATAAAAACCATAAGAATTTAAAATTTTAAAGTTTAATCACACTCCTTTTGCTAGAATTTTACCTTAGGATGCTTGAAGATTGAAAATCTCCAAAAATGTAGACCAAATCCTATGATTTTCCTTTGAAGTTTAGTGAAGAAAATTGAGAAAAAAATGGGGTAGAGTGGCGTGAACAAGGGCTGGATATGGGTTAGGGTTTCTTCAAATAAAGCCTTATATCAATTAATATAAGCATGTGTTCCCATTTTGCCCTTGCACTTTCTCTAAAATTTCATATATGTCCCTTAGTCAATTACCATAATGCCCTCATTTAATTGCATTCTCCATGAAATTCTATCTCTTTTCACTCCCCAGAATTTCAACTAATTTTGAGTGAAAAGACCATTTTACCCTTTAATGCAAGTTTAAAGCATTTTCTTCACATTTTCTCAAAATAACTTTAGCAAAAATCAACTAAAGGTATAAAAGCATAAATTAAATTACATACCTCCATGTGGGCGTTACATAAATGCAATAACTTTAAGAAGTGGAATAGTCTTGGAAGAGGTTGAACAAAAAGGGAAGGATGAGAACCCACCAAAAGAAAAGGAAGAATCCGATGAAGAAATTGAGGAAGAAATCATTGTTGAGGAGAAGCCAACAAGTCCCAGAAAAGAAGAACCAAAGAGGGAAAAGATGCCAAAGCAAAAGAAGGAAAATTTTCCATTTCCTGAGATACCGCCGGAGTTGGCACATCATACTCCTTCTGTTCCTTTTCCTCAAAGGCTCAAAAAGCAAAATCAGGATAATCAATTCATGAAATTCCTTGATGTATTTAAAAAACTGCACATTAACATTCCTTTTGCAAATGCCTTGCAGAAAATGCCAAGCTACACTAGGTTCCTCAAGGAAATACTGTCAAACAAAAGAAAGTTGGAAGAGGAAGAAACAATGAAGCTTACAGAGGAGTACAGTGCCATTTTGCAGAAGAAGCTACCACCGAAACTCAAAGATCCGGGGAGTTTCACTATCTCTTGTGTCATAGGAGATATTACATTTGATAGAGTTTTATGTGATTTGGGTGCTAGTATTAACCTAATGCCTTTTTCTGTTTTCAGGAAACTAGGGATTTGTGAAGTGAAGCCTACAACCGTATCCTTGCAGCTTGCAGATCGATCCATCAAGCATCCAAGGGGCATTATTGAAGATTTACTGGTTAAAGTGGATAAATTCATATTTCCTACATATTTTGTTGTGTTGGATATGGAAGAAGACAAAGAGATACCTCTCATCTTAGGACGACCATTTCTTGCTACCAGAAGAGCCTTAATTGATGTACAAGAGGGGAAGTTGATCATGAGGGCACAAGATGAAGAAGTGACATTTAATGTCCTCGAGACTCTAAAATTTCCATCAAAGCAAGATTCATGTTTCAAAATTGAATTGGTGGATTAGTCGGCAATTAAAACTTCCAAGATTGGTGATCCTAAATTGCCATTTAAGGAATGCATGGTCAAGTCAAAGCAAATCGAAGATGAAGATCATAAACCAAAAGTTTGTACAATATACCTAGACGAGCCACAATCGAGCAAATTTCTTCACAAGGGACGAAGTTGTAAAGATTTAGGTATAAGATCATGCAAGTCGAAAGTAGGGCCGCAAAAGAATGTTAACCGGGAGATCACTTCAACACCTTCTCATTTCAAGAATGCTGATGGAAAGTTAAAATATCAAAAAGATGTCATGAGAATGCTCAAATCCTAAAAGGAATGACCAAGGGATGGAAATGGGTGGTTAAGCTTTCAACAAAGACCCTATGTGCCAAGAATCATCAACAATTGAAGCCTCATTCCAAGTAAAATGTTCGGGACATGATGTATGTGGATAGTCTAGATTGACAAAGGACTTGAGAAAGTCGAGCTTCCGACTATAAACAAGCACTTCTTGGGAGGCAACCCAAGTGTTTTTCATTTTGACTATTTTTGTGATGTTTTTATGTTGAATGTGTTTTTGTTGTTTCAAGTGAAAGTCTAAAGATTTGAAGAAGAAGAGTTTTCCCAGTTTTCGCCACGGCAAATTTTGGTTTCACCGCAGCATGAAATCTACTGGATGCTGGCGAGAAAAAAATTATTTTTTCATTGTTAGCCCTGGCAAAATAAATTTTCGCCACAGCATGAAATTCACTAAAATGTTGGAAAAAAAAATTGCAGATTTCGTTGCGACAAATTTTGGTTTCGCCGTGGCATCGAGAACTGAAGATTGAATGTCTTAATTGAAACCCAGTTTTCGCCTCAGCAAAAACTCTCTTAACCGCGGCGAATATGGAACTTATATATAAACGCAAAATTTTCTTCACTTCATCAAACCCTAGCCTCCTTAGCACATCCCTTTCTTCTAAATTCTTTTGCCCTTCCCAAGCATTTCCACTACAAATCACACATCTCTCAATCTCCTAAACACCTTTCACCACTAGTTTCGCAAGATTCATTAGGAGATTTTCAAATCTTTGGCAAAAACCCAAAGTTTCTCACAAAAATTTGGGGCTTTTATGATTTTGGGGCAACGTGGTGTGATTGAAAGCTAAAGCTTGGTTGATTTGGTAAGAAGTCTTTCCTTAAGCTTTTGATTTATTGATTTTGAATGTTAATCTATGGATTTGCAAAGTTGATTGAAAGTTGAATTTTGGGGGTTTTTGGAGTTGCGAATTCGTGGTATTGTTGTGTGATTTTTGGTGTTGAATTGTTTGTTGTGGAGAGTTTTTGATTGTTGATTTGTGTTGGGGTGATTTAGATAAGATTGGGTTTGTGAAATTTTGAGTTGATTGAGTGGAGAAGCATGAAATTTGAAGTTGTTTGTGGTAAATTTTGTGAAATATTTTGTAGATTGTGTTGTGGTAGAGTAATCTTGAAATTGTGGGTTGAAATTGTTATGGGATTTGCTGAATAAAAAGACAATGCCTTTGAAGAGAACGACGAAAGGAAAGCAAGTGGACAATCGGTTTGCAAATGATAGGGCCAGAGAACGGTATGAGGCCAAGGCCAAGAGGAAGGATGGAACAATCATTCCTGATAGGGGATTAAATGCTCTTTATGCTTTCGATTGGGCTAAAGAATTAGATTGGCTCACTTTCGTGAAGGAACCACTACAACTAGCCTTAGAACCACTTGTTAGAGAATTTTATGCAAACCTCCTGGAGAGTCAACATGGTTGTGTGTATGTTAGGGGTTTGCAAGTGCCGTTTAATGCACATATTATCAACGATTTTTATGGGCTGAGCCCCATTGAGCATGATGAGTACAAAATGTACAAGAACAATCTAGATTGGGATGAGATACTTAGGGTCATTGCCAAACCAGAAGCTTCCTGGAATGTTAGTCCAAAAGGAACAAAAAAATTAAATGGGAGCGATCTGACAGTTGTGGCACAGATTTGGCAATATTTCATCTGTGCAAGGTTAATGCCCGAGACACATTTTTGTTCATTAAATTCTGAGAAGGCAGTCCTACTCTACTACATCACTACAAAGAAGAAGATGAACGTAGGAGATATCATTTTCGATTACATCAAGCATGCAGCAAAGCTCAGTCGATCGAATTATGCCTTCCCAAACCTTATCACAGATATCTGTAAGAAGGAAGGGGTGCCATCCTATGCTAATGAGATAACCATTCATCCAACGCCAATTCTTGACATGGCATTCTACTATAAGCTAGCTGAAAGACAGAGTAGCGGGGCATCAAGTACAGGTACAAGTGTTCAAAGACTGAGAGCAGCTACAACCACATCAAAACCTACCGTGAATTATCAATTGCAGCAACTCCAAGCTAAGATGAAGACAATGAAGTTGCAACAAACATGGATGAGTGATCAAATGAAGAAGATGTTCAAGATGCAGCAACATGTCTACAACCTCCAAGGCTATGATGTGACACAATTCCAATGGCAGGATTGGAATGAATACAATGAACAACACCCTGAAGATGCCATGGAAGAAGATAAGGAGGAGGAAGAAGAAACAGAAGAAGATTGAAGCCTGAAACACTTTTCTTTTTAGTTTTTGTTTTTATTTCTTTATGTTTTGTAAATTGGAACTGATGTTGATTTCCTGTTTTTAGCTCTTTATTTGTTTTTGTTTCGGTTTTAGATTTAGTTCGATAAGGTTGAGATTAGGATGTAATTCGTTCATATTAATCGGTGACGATATCTAACACATTTGGCACCCTAGATTTTCATTTGTTTGACGGATGATGATGATGATGATGAGGAGGAGGAGGAAGCCAAGGAATGAATGTCAAGATTTTGCACAAGAATCGGCCTTTACGGATTAATCAGAGGAGTATCTCTTAACCTCCATTTTTGTTTTTCTACTCCTTGGATGTGCATGATGTGACATTGGGGACAATGTCATTTTAAGTTTGGGGGTAGGAAAATTTTGAAAAAAAATTGTGTTTAGCTTATTTGTGTGTTTTAGCTTGAAATTGTGTTTCTTTTGTTTTAAGTTATTTGATTGTTACTTTGTTTAGTGTGTTTTTGTATGTGTTGCGTTGTTCCCTGGATGAATTGCACAAGTCTATGATGAGATGTTGATTGTTGGGATACTATTATTGGAAAATGCGAAGCATTGTTTCAAGTTAGGTTGGTTGACTAGATTGATCTAGAAGTTTGTTGAGTGGTTCAACCATCATTTTCACTCTTTCGGCATGCTTAGATTCATTTTATGTGGTTAGGTGAAGTCTTGATAATATTGGTAGACTTTAGAACCTAGTTGAGAGGTGCTTGAGGCGAAATTCTAGGATTAGACATTGTTGAGGAAATGATTAAGACATTTTTCGGAACGTTTGAGCCTTTTTAGCCGACCCTTGAATTAATCTTTCCCTAGTCACCCATTTGAGCCTTTTAAGATTGCCTCATTTTTCTTGCAAACCAAAAATTGTCCAATCCCTATACCCTAAACACTTTATCATACCCTTTAGGAGAATTATGGACCTAATGTATGACACAAAAGAGCTTTGAGATGTGTGTCAATAAGTGATGGACCAAAATGTTAAGTTTGGGGGTTGCAAAAAGGGCAGGAAGAAGGGGCAATAGACCTTAATGGTGTTGAAAATCTTTATTAAGTTAAAAAAAAAAAAAAAATCAAAAATAAGAAATGCATAAGTTTGGGGGTTGTAAAATAGTTGACACTTTGATTGGTGGGTGAGAAAGAAAGCGGAGATTGATGTAGCTCTTAGTGTTTGCATGAGAAAAACTGAGTTCTCTTACTTTGCTTATCCTATCCTCTTCCTTAGAGCCCACTCACCCGAGCCTAACGTTACAAGCCAACAAAGACCTTTTGACCCTTAGTGATGTCTAGTCCACATTAGTGGAGAGTAGTTCGATACTTAGGCTTATGGGGTCTACCACCATTTGATAAACTTCACATTGCTGCATAAAATAATCCGAGAAGTCGGAAAGTGAATAGAAGTGTGGATTACTTACTTAAGGGACCGATAGAGAAAGATAGTCAATTCAATTATGACTTCTTAGAGTGTTAAGTATTTTCCCCTAATATTGTTTCAACAATTTTTAAGACTTGCATTTTCAATCAATTCCAGGTAACTTGTCTGTTTTTAATAGTTTTCCTCTTTTGTCATTTTGGTTTAAGTTATTTTTCCTTACGTTTGTTTTGTTGTTTTTGTTTTTGATGCTCGAGGACGAGCATATCTTAAGTTTAGGGGTATTTGATAATCTGTGGATTATACTGTTTTTCTTGTCTATTTGGTAGGATTTTCGGATACTTTCCTTTGAATTTAGGCCTCAATTTCCACTTAATTCATTCATTTCATATTTCAATTCTAAAACACATTTTCGAATAGAAACGAAGCAAAAACGAGGTCAATCAATTCAAACTCGAGAGTTTTCAAAGGCAGAGATGTTCGGAGGTTGATTGGAAGCACCCTTGAAGCTCAGATGAATGAAAAGGAAAGAGAAAATCGAAGATTCAAGTGTTGGAGCATGCAAAGGTAGTTTTGTAATTTCAAATTTTGAAGACAAGGTTTTGCCGCAGCGAACTTGATTTTCGCCGCGGCATGAAACTCACGGGTTCAATGTAGCTTTTTATGTTTCATCGCGATGCCGCGGTGAAAATCAAGTTCGGCGTAGCGAATTTTGGAATTCTTTGTTTTGTAAAAACAGTGCATTTTCCAGCTTTAGTCTTGAATCCTAGGGTTTTGGCCGACTATTTAAGAGAGGCTAGTAGCGTGCCGAATGCTCCAAATTAATAACCTTACTAACCTAAATACTAAATTGCATATAGGGTGAGCAAGGGTCGATCCCACAGGGAATAATTCGATTAAATCCTATATTCTAACCAATAACCACAACGAAAACAACAGAAAAATAAAATAATAAAATCCTAAACAGTAAACATGACAACAAAATAATGAAAGAGGTTGTAGACAATGCAATCTAAAGTG